GGCTGGTCTCGAACTCCTGACCTTGAGCGATCCACCCGCCTCGGCCTCCCAGAGTGCTAGGATTACAGGCGTGAGCCACCGCACCCGGCCTAAAAATAACAAATTTTTAATTAGATTAGAAAGGATTGTTTTTGAAGTTCTTCTATTTTCATAGTAAAACACCATGGCCACAAGGAAAAACATTTTTTTTCAGGTGTGGCAGTCAGTGTGTTAAAAAACAAACAACAACAACAACAAACATATAAGACTTGTAAGTTATCTGGCAATGATTGACCAATATAGCATTTTCATTTTAATTAGTTTCCAACATTTAAAGTTCTGGAGTTTTTACATTTTAAAAAAATCTGCATTTCTAATTTATTTGGAGAAATCTAAAGATCTGGCAACACAGAGCAAGGATTCTCTAATGCCAGCCTTATGTGGGGACTGAGCAGTGACTGCTCCTCTCAGTGCAGGTTTTGCAGTCACCTGCATCCATGCCACTTCTTTTCATTTCTTGGCATCGAGGACAAGTGTCAGTTGCCACTTATGTTCACACTTGTTCTTTTATTTTTAATATAGTGGAAAGTAAAGTGAAATTTTCTCATACCCTAAATTAGGTAACGAAGGCACATGTAGAAAAACAGAGGAGACGTGCTTGACGTTTAGAGTTGAAATAATACACCTAGCCCCCTTTTCCTGTTTCCTATTTTCCTGTGTCCTATTTTCTTGGCCCCTCTATAGTCATTTGAAATTGCTAAGCCTGCTGTATATACTTCTGAGGTTAAGGCAGTGATTTGGCAGTTCCTCAGCAACTGCATGTAAAATCTACTCTTCACGTCATGCATATAAATTTACTCTTACCACTAGAGGTCCCTAATACCTCACTGAATAAGTAGAAAACTCTGAAGTTCCTGCCCTGTATATTGATTTCGTGTATCTTGAGCAGGGATCTGTAATCTGATTTTTAACAAGCCGGTGATTCTTTATCATTAGGGAAGTTAAGGAAACACTGGCCCAAAGCACAACCAATATTTGTAAATGTTCCACATCATTTCTTTGTTTAATCTAAATTTGTAACTGCTCAAATTACAAATGTGTGTGATTCAAATTTTCTGCATTATTTGCTGACATGATCTGGAAATTTCTGAAGGAAGTGTCTTAAGTTTCATTCTGATACGCATTTGTCCGTTTCTCGTATGCCAGATTCCCATTTCTACTTGGATTCAATTTTGACTCTTAATTTCTCTTCATTTCTGTTATTCTGTTTATTCTTTTTTCATGATAGCTACACATCAGGAATTACAAACTATAAAACTTTGAGATAGGAGAGGCCTCTCTAAATAATGTCATAATGGAAAAGGTTATATTTAACTACATTAAAAGTTAAACTTTATGTACTGTAAGCATATCTTAAACATAGTAAAAAGAACAGTGACAATGTCTTAATAATTGTTGACACCGGGTGATGCATACATAGAGGTTTATTACCTGATTCTATAATAGAAAAAGGAAAAAAATTTAAAGGTAGTAAATTGAGGAGAAGTAGCATTTTCTCTAAATATAGTCATAGATCACTTAAGGACCAGGGATATTTTCTGAGAAATGCATCATTAGGTAATTTTATTGTTGTGCAGACATCATAAATTGCGCTTACACAAACCAAGCTGATACAGCCGACTGTACACCTAGGCTATAGTTTGTAGCCTGTTTCTCCTAGGCTACAAACCTATACAGTATATAACTGTACGGAATATTGTAGGTGACATAATGTTAACTATTTGTATATCTAAACATAGAAAAGATACAGTAAAAATACAGTATTACAATTTTATGGGACCACCATCCTGTATGCAGTCCACCTTTGACAGAAGCATGACTATATATGTATATACATATAATACAGGATTGATATAGTGAACATATTTTTAAAACCTCCTAGGCTGAGACAGGAGGATCATTTGAGGTCAGGAGTTCAAGATCAGCCTGAGCAAGAGCAAGACCCCAACTCTACAAAAAATAGAAAAATTAGCCAGGTGCCTATAATACCAGTTACTTAGGAGGCTGAGGCAGTAGAATCGCTTGAGCCCGGGAGTTTGAGGTTGCAGTGAGCTATGATGATGCCACCACACTCTAGTCAAGGTGACAGAGCGAGACTCTGTCTCAACAAAACAAAAACCTCCTAAAGAACTCTTGCAATCAATAAGCAAAAAAAAAAATAAATAAAAAAAACAGTAAAAAAAAAAAAGGGCAAAGAATATGAGCAGGCAATTAATGGAAGAGAAAATATAAATGATCTGTCACCATAAGAAGCATGACCTAAGTACCACTCTGGGAGATGCTAGTTAAAGCAATAATGACTGGTTGTTTTTCAGTCCCTCTTTTTGGGAAAAAATACAAGATATTAAGTGTTGGCCAGCAGCAGGGGAATTGGGTACTCTCATACACTGCTGGTGAGAGGATAATTTGATACAGCTTTTTTTGAAGGGAAACTCGATACTTACCTATTAAAATAAACTGTTCTAACTAGTTATTATATTTCTCATTATTCATCCTAGAAAACACATTTACAAAGAAACATGAAAGATATATTCTTTGCTGTGTTATGGATAATTGTTTAAAATTTTCAAACATAATAAATGTTCACCACTCAGTGAATGGATATTACAGTGTAGTATATCTATATTATGCATACATTTTTAAAATTGGTGTTTATACATTCACGTGAATTGATCAACAAATTAAATTGAGAGCTGAAAACAAGTTGCTAAAGTATAAAGTATGTTACTTTTAAAATACAAACATTTTTCTTTATATTTGTTTACATTTGTATAAATCCATTGAAAACAGCTTTCACAAACTGGGACTGGGAATTGGTTTAATGGTGGGCTTGTATTTTATATTCTTTGGAAAAAAGAATTGTTAGCTATAATTTATAATTTTATGGTTTGGCCTACAGTGTCATATTGGTTTAGATTTTTAAAAATTAACTTGTCTGTGTTGTTGTAGTCTAAAAAACAAATCAGCTAGTATCTATTATTTCCTGTAAAACTGAAAAACTCATTTGGGGTAAAAATATATTTGCATTATTTATATGCTGTGGTCTTAAGCTAAAGTATTTCACAAGGGTTTTGGGGGCATTAATGAAAAAAAAAATTAAAAATCTTTAGAGCTTTTCAAGATCTCTTGTTCTGTCACCTGGGACTGGTGGGTCTACTTCCATAGTAACAGCCGTAACTTAAAACTCAGCATTGGGCTTTGTGATTATAAACTTTCACACTGCTTCAGTTTAAAGGTTAGAATCAAGAAGATTTTGCAGGTTGAGATATAAGTAGCTACTGATACTTCTAGTGTGGAAGAAAGGATAATTTTTCTTCCAGTTTTCTGTTATATATAATTTTTGCATAAGCTGTTGGTAAGATTATTTGGCTATCAAACCCATACCGAAAGGTAAAAAGTTTTAAGTCTTAGATGGTGGTGACCAAATACTAAGGATTAGCCTATGCCTTTTGCCTTGAAAATTCACTACTTATTTGAAAACAGAGCATGCATAATGAGATATGTAACATTTATGGATTGAAAAATATCTTTTTAAATCTTTTTTTTTCTTTATGCTTTTTTATTTATACAGAGTCTAGTGCTGGCAGAAAATAGTCCTGGAAGAGATAGTACTGAATATTTTATTATATTTGAGCCTCGGCTACCACTTTTATCAAGAACATTAGAGCCATATATCCTACCATTTATGTTTTATAATGGTAAGTTTCTAGGAAAATAAATGGTTAAACTCTGTTGTTAGTGGTACTTCAGATAACTTTGTTTGCTTTTCATTAACGTGTTTGTTATCTAATTGTGTTACGACATGTTTTAGAAAAGTCACAATTTTTAAATTATCTGTATTTTTAAATTATCTGTATTTTTTTTCTTAGATGTTAAGAAGCAGCAACAAATGGCAGCACTTACAAAAGAAAAGGACCAATTATCTAAATCTATTTTTGCATATAGAGGTTTATTTGAAGCCAATCAACAGCTTCTTGATGAAATGAAATGTAAGTTATTTTGTATTCAGAGGCCTTGTAAAATTATGCTTCAGGGAATAGTGAGGCAGAAGGTAAAGACCATGGTACACAAACATGTATCTGCTTTCCTGGACTGCAAGTAAAATGCAGAACACTGAAGAAAGGTAGTAATGATGGCTTATGTTATTTGTCATTTGATAGTTTTTTTTTTGTTTGTTTGTTTGTTTGTTTTGAGACAGAGTCTCACTCTGTTGCCCTGGCTAGAGTGAGTGCCATGGCGTCAGCCTAGCTCGCAGCAACCTCAAACTCCTGGGCTCAAGCAGTCCTCCTGCCTCAGCCTCCCAAGTAGCTGGG